AAGCATAAGGGTGCTCTCAAGAACAACGGAGATGCAGATGGTAAGCAATACATAGAAGGCAGTAGATCCATGAGAATCAAAAGCTAAATCCAAGGCCAGCTTGTTTAACAGAAAGAACCAGGCAGAGGACACTTAAGAAACCTCAAAGACTGGTCTCAAAATCTACCCCTGCCAAGGGGACAGAATTTAACTGAATCAGGCTGAAGAGCAATTTAAAACACACAGCCTTGTTGAAAAATAAAGCAATTAGCTAGCAACCCTGGCAGCCTAACAGCTGGGTGAGATACTGCACAGGCTTAATAGAGAAATCAGGGAAAGAGACTGTCAACATGAGCCTGTTAGAGCCACCATCATCCCAGGGGGTGTGGCCAAGGCTACATCCTCCAAGGATCAACAGTTAAAGCTTCACACTGGAGTGGCGGGGAGGGAATAGGGAACACTTCACTAAAGTAGACCTGACAAGTCACTAAACAAAAAAACAAGTAAATAAAATAAAACAAGTTGGGGAAGGTGGGGGTTGGGATGAGGGCACAGTATCTAGAAGTGCTACATTACAATATACTACCTAAAATGCCCAGTTTTCTACATCAAATTACAAGACATGTAAAGAAACAGAAATGGGTGACCCACAAACAAGAAAAAAAAAAAAATCAATAAAAACTGTCTGTATGAAGTTCCCAGAGTTCGATATAACAAAGACACCAAAGCAACCACCATAAATATTAGGTTGGTGCAAAAGTAACTGCAGTTTTTGCCATTAAAAGTAATGGCAAGTGTTCAAAGAACGAAAGGAAACCATACTTAAAGAAGTACATAGATAATAAAGACAGATTACAAAATAGAAACAAATTGAATTCTGGAGTTGAAAAATACCACAATTGAAACTAAAAATTCAACAGAGGGATTCAACAGTCGATTGGAACTAGGCTAAAGAACCAGCAAACTTGGATTGAAAGGGTTTATGCAACCCCGAGATCAGAGGAAATACAGGAAACTACACAGAGCCTCAGACAAATACAGAACACCAGTAAGTGCGTCGACATGCATGCTGCACTGGGAGTATCAGAAAAGAGAAAGGAATACAAAATGTATTCAAAGAAATAATGGCTGAAAACTCCCCAGAATTGATGAACATATGAATGTACATATTCAAGAAGTTCAATGAACTGCAATTAGGATGAGCATAAACAAAAATAGATGCACACAGATACATCATTCTAGAAATCCTACAAACCAAAGAAAGACAAGATAAAGTTTTGAAAATAGCTGTACTAGGTTGGATACTGTCCTACAAAGTTTATGCCTGTCCCACAGCTTCAGAATGTGACTTTATTTGAAAATAAAGCCCCTGTAGATGTATGTAGTTAAGAAAAGGTTTTACCGGATTAGGGTGGGACCTTAATCCAATACTAGAGGCAAGCAAGGACCCACGTGCTGCTGGAGGCAGAGACTACAGTGATGTCTCTACAAGCCAAAGAACACCAAGGATTTCTGGCAATAAGACAAGCTGGGAGAAAAGCATGGGGAAAATTCCCCTCAGAGCCTTCAGAGAGACATAGGCGTGGCCCTGCTGACATCTTGATTTCAGACTTTTATCTTCTAGAACCGCGAGGGATTAAATTTCTGTTGTTTTAAACCACTTAGATGGTGGTAACTATTACACAAGTCCTAGGAAATTCATACAGCAGAAAAAGAAAAATGACTTGTCACATATAAGGGAACCCCAATATGATTAACAGCTGGTGCATTACAACAAACAATGGAGAAAGCAGTGGATGGCATACGTATTACTTCATTTTGTGCTGCCATAAAGGAATGCCTGAAGGTGGGTGATTTACAAAGCAAAGAGGTTTATTTGGCACACGGTCCTGCAGGCTGTACATGAAGCATGGCTCCAGCATCTGCTTCTGGTGATGGCTTTGGAGAGCTTTCAATCCTAGTAGAAGGCTAAGGGGAAGCAGGCATGTCACATGGCAAGAGAGGGAGGAGAAGGGGGTCCCATACTCTTTTTTAACAATCAGATCTCGTGTGAACTCATTACAGTGGGGTGTGCACCAAGCCATTCATGAAGAATCTGTCCCCATGACCCAAATAATTCCCACTAGGCCCCACCTCCAACACTGGAGATCAAATTTCAACATGGGATTGGGAGGCTGAAACAAATATCCAAACTCTATCAACATATTTAAAGTGTAAAAATAAACTGGCAGTCAATAATCTTATATACAACCAAAAATAACTTTCAAAAATAAGACATCCCTAGATAAACAAAAAATGAGAGAGCTCATTGCTAGCAGACCTACCACACAAGAAATACTAAAGGATGTTCTTCAGGCTGAAAGCAAGTGACCCCAGATAGTAACTGGATTCCACAGGGAAAGAGAAGGGAAAGGTACCAAATAGGAAATTAGTTAATTATAAGGGATTCACTCAGTGACTCACCTAGAGCAACTTCTAGTCCTGCAAGCTCCATTTGTGGTAAGTGGCCTATACAGATGAACACAAACACTTATCTTTGTTAAAACTACCTACAGTATTCAGTATAGCAACATGCTGTACAGATTTGCAGCCTAGGAGCAATAGGTCATACCACGTAGCCTAAGTGTGTAGCAGGCTGTACCATCTGGGTTTGTGTAAGTCCACTCTGTGATGCTCACAGAACAACAACAAAAACACCTAGCAATGCATTTCTCAGAACGTATCCCCATTGTTAAGTGATGCTTGACTGTACATTTATGGTAAAATGATTTTCAACAAGGGTGCCAGGAAAATTCACTGGGCAATAAATAGTCTTTTCAATAAATTGTGCTGGACAACTGGACAGCCATATGCAAAAGAATGATGATGTAATACCCTATTCAAAAGCTACCTCAAAATAGATCACAGACCTAAACTTAATAACAAAATCTATAAAACTCTTAGGAAAAAAACACAGTAAATCTTTGTGTCCTTAGTTTAGGCAATGATTTCTTAAATAAGACACACCCAAGTGCAAGCAGCAAAAGAGAAAAAAACAGACTTCATCTTTAAAACATTTATGCTTCAAAGAACACCATCAAGAAAGTAAAAAGACAACCCACAGAATGAGAAAAAATATTTGCAAATAATATACCTGATAAGAAACTTGAATCAAGAATATATAAAGAACTCAACTCAATAATGAAAAGAAAAATAACCCAATTAAAGAATAGGGTAAGTATTTAATAGAAATTTCTCCAAAGACGACATAGAAATGACCAATAAGCACACAAAAAGATGCTCAACACCATAAGCTATCACAGAAATGCAAATTCAAACTACAAAAAGATATCACTTCACACCCAGTAGAAAGGCTACAATCAAAAAGACAATAAGAAGTGGTGTTGAGGATGTGGAGCAACTGGAACCCTCATATACTGCTAGTGGAAATGTACAATGGTGCAGCTGCTCTGGTAAACAGCAGTTCCTCGAAAGGTTAAACAGAGTCACCCTATGACACATATAACAAATGTACAGTCATCCCTCAGTATCCACAGGGAATTGGTTCCAGGACCACACCCCACCCCCCATACCTAAATGAAAAGATGCTCAAGTTCCACATATGAAATAGTGTAGTATTTGCATGTAACCCACACACATCCTCCTGTATACTTTAAATCATCTCTAGATAATTATAATACCTAATACAACGTAAATGTTACGTAAAAATGTTATACTGTATTGTTTAAGGAATAATAAAAAAACTCTGCACATATTCAGTACAGACATAACCACTGTGGGCCTAACTACATTTTCAATTCATGGTTAGCTGAATCCATAGATATGGAAGTCCTACTGTATAAATAAAATGTGGTATATTCACATAATGGATTATTTGGTAACAAAAATATATTAACTACTGATACAAGCTACCACATGAACGAAACCTGAAAACACGCTAAGTGAGAAAAGCTAGTCACAAAAGGCAAACATTGCATTATCCCATCTATATAAAATACTCAGAATTGGCAAATCTACATGGACAGAAAACAGATTAATGGTTGCCTAGGCATTGGGGTGTGGAAGGCCTTAGGGGAAAATGGAGAGTGACAGCTAAGGGTATAGGCTTTCCTTAGGGGGTTCTAAAATTGGATGTGGTAATGGTTGTACAACTCTGTGAATACATTACAAACTACTGAATTATACATTTTAAGGGGGAATTGTATGGTATGTGAATCATATCTCAACAAATCTGTTACTTTAAAAAAATGCAACATGCAATATTTTTGGACATAATTTGTTACCCAATAGTTAAAAGGGTTTCTTTCATTGGTGAGTTTATACTGATGTTTAACAAGAGTACTATTAGCCAAGGAAGCCTCCAGGGTATTCATCAAAGTGGTCTGTGAACCAGAAAAGGTTAAAAACCACAGCTCCCAAGTTTCATACTTCCTCAAAAAGATAAACACAGGGTTTCCACACAATCCAGTAATCCCACTCCTAAGTATATCTAAAAGAACTGAAAATCCTACGTCCACACAAAAACTTACACACATGCATTCACAGCAGCATTATTCACAATAGCCCCAGGTGGAAACAACTCCAAATACCTATCAGTTGAGAAACAGGGAAACAGTATGTGGTACATCCATACAATAGAGTATTGTTCTGCCATGAAAAGGCATGAAGAGTACGCTTCATGCTAGAGCTGAGCCTTGAAGACAGACCAAATATCACATTATTTCATTTGGATGAAATGTTCAAAAAAGGCAGATTCATAGAGATAGAGAGTAGTTTTAGTGGTTTCCCAGAACTGGCGGGAGGGGGCTGGGAAATGGAAGTGATTGCTAATGGGTACAGGACTTCTTTTTGGGGTGATGAAAATACTGTGGAATCAGAATGCGGTGCTAACTCTGTGGACATACTATAAGCCACTGAATTGTATCTTTGAGAAGCGTGAATTCTATGATATGTGAATTATCTCTCAATGAAAAAAGAAAGTTTCTTAATATTACAAACACTAATCAGGTGTGCAAACTTACCAAAATTCTTTTCCGATCCTTTTCCGATAAAAACTTTACTGGTGGGTATTTCTGGGTAAAGCTGTAAAATATAAAGAGATTCAAAAGGAAAAAGTCAAACATCCCATTTGAATATTTTCTCTGTCTATCATCAAAGCATGTGTCAGGTTTTGGGACTGTTATTGTTTGCTCCTTCTCCCTACTCTTGAATGAGTGCTGGAGAAACCAAGGAGTCACTAGTTAACTTGAGGTCAAGAGCTATCTAACCTGCTCCTTGTTTAGGATCAAGCTAAGGACATGACTTGAGATTCTACCTCTGAGAAGCGAAAGCTTAAGGAACTACAGGCTTCCAGCAGCTGCTAAAGCAGGGCAGGCACTACCTCTACTAGTCCAGACAAAACCACACCATAAGGAAGATGGACGTGAAACTGCATTGCAAAATTGTAATGAGAGAAATCTAATGACTGGCTCCATCTTGCTTTTAATCTCACAGGCTAAATTTTTGTTTTTGTTGTTTTTGCTTATTTTAGTGCAGAGGCCAAGATAACTAGGAGAGGAATTTATAGTAAAATGTTGAGGCAAGGAAAACTGACCCTCCTCGTTTCGAGATTGAAGCCACATTCCTAAGCCGAGGTTAGAGTTATGGTAGGGTCTGAACTTTGCTAAAGAATAAGCATAAACATTGACGTGCCATTGCTTAGCTTAGCTTGTTTATCTGTATATTGCTTACTGCCCCAGAGTCACTCAAACAGAGGTTGCAAGATTTGTAACTTCTCCAATAACCTCTATAGATAATATCACTACTGTGAATCCTAAATAAACGGTATTTGAGGTATCTTTCAGATTTAGCATTTTGGCATACAGACGAAGAGATGTCACCTGGTCCTCAGACTCTGCTTCCACGAACTGATTCAGCTGCGTGAAGACAGTTTCGACACCCTCATGATTTCACATCCAGCCAATGAATTGTTTCAGCTCCCCAGACCCCACCCACCAAACTACCCTTAAAAACCCAAGCCTCCGAGTTCTCAGAGAGGCAGATCTGAGAAACTGCTCCCATTCTCACAGGTGGCTGGCCCTGCGATTGAACTCTTTCTTGGCTGTAACACCTGTTGTTCTCAGTGCCTTGGTTTTCTCAGGGCAGTGGGCAAGAAGAACCCACCGGGCTATAACCATGGCATTCTCTAGGTACTGTACCACCAGGGCCCAGGTGGAAGAAAGCAGCTTCGTGAAGTCACAGGCCCAACGCACGAGGACTGCCCCGCAAGTGTGAGAAAAGATATTAACGAAACTTTGTCTCCTGCTCCAGGAATTTTCAGTCACGGCATCCTCTTTCTGACCAGCGTCCCTGGTAAAACAATGGAGCATTAGCAACTTCTGTCTCTGTGGGTCTGCTCCGACTCCATCTCAAGTCTCACTTATCTTTCGATGCCCTCTTGCTGCCCTAAGGTGCCATGGGTCCCCAGCCCACACTCATGTCCCAGGAGCAGGGCAGTGTGATGAGAATATAAAACATCCAGTGAGAGGTAATAAACACAGAGCCGAAATAGTCATTTTTAAAGTGATTCAGTTAGGAACAAAAGTGCTTTAAATAAAATCTGAGACATCAGCTTTATGGTCATTACACTAATTGGAGAGGTTGGGCCAGGTCCATCCCTTCCCTGTCCTCAGCACAGACACAGCAATACAGGATACAGAATGCACTTCCTTAATGGTCGCTGAACTGAAGGGAATATGAAGGGTCATTAGACAGAAGTCCCTGAAGCAGGGGTTTCTCATCTCCAGAAAGCCAGGAGCATGCTTAAATGGGAGTAAAAGGGCTGTTACAATGCAGACGAATGCCCCCATTAAGAACTTCCAGAGTCTCAAAAGCTCAAGTTCCCCTTGCAGACTACAAAAGCAGTTGGGAGAGTCTGAGGGCACAGGTGGGAACCCCAGGGTTCCCCTTGTGAGCTCGCCGAGTGTCTTTAGTACTTGCCGCCCACAGGAAGGGCCTCGGGAATGTTATCCACGCAGCTGGGGAGCAGGTGCAAGTTCTGTCTTCAGACAGGAGCATGCTGTTAGACTGGCGGGAGCAGCACACATGTCTTGTTTGCCAAGTAACACTTCTTGTCATTCCGTCTCTTCCCTCACCAACTCAGCTGGGGGACGGCACTGTAAATCTCAGAGTTATCTGTGTGCGCCTCTCACACCGCTCCAATTGTCCTCATTTCTCTGAGCTCACGACATCCAGGTCTTCAGCCTCAATCCCTGAGCGGCACACCCAGTGCCGCGGCACAGCTGAGACCCTCCTTCCTTCCCACGACTGCTCACAAGCACCGCGGCTCCTCCGGACTGTGTTGTGAAAATGCTGGTGCCGTCTCTGACTCGTAACTTCCCCTCACTCACCTTCAGGGCTCCTTCTCTACTGTGTATATGATTTTAGAGTCAGGACCGCGCGGGAATGGGAGTATAGCTACATACGGGAAAACGAGGTGCAGGAGAGAAACCAATTCAGTGAGGAGCGGAGGCGCAGGACTGTGGAGTGTGCATCCGGGGCCACGGAAACAAATGTTAATCCAAGCTGTCAGCTTAGAATAGTCCCTATCTGAAAGCTTAAAATGAAATGTGGTGTGCTACTTATACCAAGAGGAAACGGCCAAACCGTTTTATTACAGGAAATGTACTTCAAAGAAATTGAACTGAAGCAAAGGCATGGTTGCCTGACACACGCAGTGACAGGCGTAAGATGGACTAAAAAATACTTCAAATGCAGTGTGCTGACACCTTTAATTTAAAAGACGAAAAATAGTTGAGTTTCTTGCTTTGTTTCTCTTCAATACGTAGCAGCCGAGTTTTAGATTTCATATGTATACGCTCAAGTAATTAAACTTTTAAAAAACTATCTTATACTCCTCACTTCTTCCTGTGAGAAGCCACACATACAAGGCTGAAAGTAACAGGAAGGGGAGGGTGCCTGTGGGGTCCTCCTCAGTATGCATGTCATCCTGTTTTCCTCCTTGCAGTAATGGGTGACGGAGCACAGTGACCGACAGAGTGCAGTGACCATGTGGATGCTGTTGGCTGGGCCACATGCTGAGCCAGCTGCCTGGTGCTCCCAAGCACCTGCTGGACTGACCCAGGGCTGGGCAGGGGCACAAGGCCTTTTTTTTCTTTTTTTGAGACAAGGTCTCACACTCCATCGCCCCAGATGGAGTATAGCGGCATCATCACAGCCCACTGCAGCCTTGTATTTTTTGTAGAGATGAGGTTTCATTATGTTGTCCAGGGGGGCTCGAACTCCTGGGCTCCAGCCACCGGCCTGCCAAGGCTTCCAAAGTGCTAGTATTACACCGTGCCTGGCCCACAAGGCTTCTTAAAGACCTGTAGCAGGTGAAAATCCTACCCAGTGTACTGGCTCATCCTCTTATTTGGGAACTTTCCATTAAGCACCGTTCTACACTAGGCACTAGGGGTTAAGCAGCGAAATGTGGCAGAGGCATGAGGCCTGCATTCCTCAGCGAGAGAGAAACCAGCAAGCAGAGGCAGAATGAGGGATGAACTAGGTAACAAATCTTTTCTTACAGTCCCAAATGAACACTTTACTAATTATTAATGTTTTATGCCATTCGAGATAAAACTTACTGTTTAGCCAGTAAGTAGTATTCTTACTTAGAATTTAAATGATCATCATTTGCCATCTATTCAAAGAACATTTAAAGATACAGAGTTAAAATTAAACAAATGGCATATAATCAAAGTATTAAGCAATGGGAGTGTGATAAAAGAGAAAAAGCCCACATACAATCCATTTACTCAGGATTCTAGAATGACACTGTCTTCTTTCTTTCCCTGTATAAATATAACCTGTAACTTCCAAAAATATCTTTCGTTCTTGGGGGCCACTTTGCTCAAAGTGACAAGCATATCAAGTAAACCTATTTCCAGTCACATTCTTATCTTGTCAGTGTCGAGATGGTCGTTTGATCATCTTTATCACACACTTAGGAAAAGTAAAGCTAGACGGAGTTCCATCAATTTCTATCGTCACGCTTTTTTAGCCAGGCCTGCGCTTGACCTTCTGACACAGTAATGCAGGCATGTGGATCACCTGACTTGCTGACCAACCTGAAGGACAGAACCATTCCAGAATGAATCACCTGCAAGCAGCCCCAGAGGCAAATGTTTGCCCTCTGCCCCTATTTTCAAGGTGGTCTCACAGGTTGACAAGAATAAAGTGTTAGTAAATTCTTAGGATCAAATTCTTATTTGTGCTTCTCTGTCCAGTTTAAAAGCACACACTCAAAAAAACATCACAAAAGTATCAAAGAGATTGTGTAATCCTCACGTTGAGAGCTCTTGTTCGTAAGCTATTGCCTTAGGGAAGTTATCGAATTGAGACATTTTTCTTTTCATAAATGAATACTATCATCTAAAGAAAATAATCACTGGTCGACAAGTTTGGTTTTTTTTGACCAATATATAAAACGTGTGTTGGGTTATTTCTTATCGTTCCAATTTTTCTAAAAAAAAAGCTTCAATTAAAATCTCTCAATTCTGCTGTCTTATCAAAGGCAGATTTTCTGGCTCCCATCCAAGGAAATATTACAAGCTGTATAACTGAAGCACAAAATCACAGCAAAAAAAAATTTAAAGCACAAGTAGCAACCTTATATTACTAAGGGAATCTGTTAAAAATTACTGACAACTTTTGTTCTGATAAGTGCTGAAACTAACAGTTTGCTTGACTGCTCAGTTGAGGATAAGAAGAAAGTGAATGACACATTTTGTTTAATGATGCTTTTCCAATCGTATTTCCCTTTGATCATTTAATGAAAATCAAAGGAAAACTGCTCTTCATTTCTTCATTTTTGTTCTGGACTTGATAAAAGGCTCATCCAATGCTGACACACATCATCCAAACTCATCCCAAGAAAGGGGAAAAAAATCACATCAACTTTAATACATGCTGTCGTTTTTCTTTTTAAAATTTCTAAAGACTCAACTGCTACTCCAGACAATGTTTTCCGAATACAGTACGTGCAAGAGGAAAGCCCCAGAGCCTGAGGCTCAGCGGCCTTGGGAGTGCCTGAGAGAGACCCTGAGGGCGATAGTGTCCCAAAGGGTGAAGAGAGGTTCTCTCTGGAATCTGACTCAAATAAATGTTTCTATCGTATTCCATTCATTCTTCCTCCCACTTCACTGGACTAAATTCTGGAAACCTCATCAACTTTGGTGACAAAAGCAGCTAAATGACTACACATGACACACCACAGGCTCCACATTCTTATTTTGTGGTGTTTGCATATGGTACTATGTTTTAGGCCCAGAGGATTGTCCTCCTGTTTTGGAATTCCAGCCAACTGATCAATATGTGCAGAAGTTAAAGGAAAATGTGAGGCCTGGCCTCAACTTCTATTAATAAATTTGCAGAAATTCAGACATTCAGAGTTTGAACAAGGAAGATCTTAACACATCTAGATTGACTCTTCTCCCAATGTTCTATCTGGGTATTACACTCAAAGCGAGGGAAATGCATATGTAGACATTTATTTAGGTTGGTAGAGTTTGGAGAAAACAAACTGAGAATTAATTACTCCATTGAGACAAACTTATTTTAACTATTGACCTTAAGACAAAAAGTACACATACCTTTTTTCTAAATCTCTGATTTTCTCTCTTAGTGGTTCAACCATCTAGAACAATAACAAAAATCAGTTTTAAAGCAAAAACACAGTTCTCAACTCCTTTCACTCCATTCTGATGTTTCAGATAAGGCAAAACAGGTTTTAATTTCTTCTACAAATTAACTTCCGGTTTGAAATTACGATACACCACTTGCATCACAATGCTAGAATTGAACAGGTAAACTGTCGATTTGAACTCTTACTCCATAAACGCCTCAGTTTCTGAGACAATTAATGTATTTGCTCACCCATCTTACTAGGAAGAATGTAAAAGGTGTTTCAGGTTCATAAAAACAGATCAACACTATCCATCTCTTTTTAGGAAGAATCCCCTAAGCATGGCCCACAAAAGCTTAACATCTTGTTTCTGCAATTACTGTGTATATTCATGTTACCAGCTGCAGCACATAGTTGCAGGCTGTGAGTCAACCCACATCCACGTCTGTAGACACTGTGGACTCAGGAAAAAGACAGCAACCCAAGAGCTTCCCAGGACTCCCTTATTTGGCTTCAGATACAAAGTAAGTAACCCCCCATCCTCTCCCCCACAGTCCATGTTACAGTGGTCTGGCTGTATCTATATGTATTTAAATAGGAAGTGCATAACCAAGCATAGGTGCTAGCCTTCAGCTGGGTGGGTGCGCGACATCTCCATCTGTGCATGTGGACGTTCTTTACATTTGTTGGCCTAGCATCCGATTGGTGGCCATTTTTCTTTCAGCATCTGTGCCAGTGAGAGGATGCTGGTACTCATCTCTATCTCCCAAAGGCAATCACTTCCCTTTCTCTAAAAGACGCTTACCTGAAAAGTCATGTAAAAGTCTAAATCCATTTTGCCTTTGAGGTAGAACTTGTTTTAATAAGTCAAAAATGGACCAACAGTAACAGATTGCATGTCCTCTTAAATAAGGGAGTAATTTTTTGAGACATGGTTTCAGAATCACAGAACAGCATCAAGCTGCCACAATAAGAATGACAGCACGAGCAAAGGAAGCAAAATTGACAAACGCACAGACAAAATAGATACAAAAATAGAAAAGAGACTAACCTCTTCAATCTTGCTTTCAATTTTTAGTTCACCGTTTTCCTGGATAGACCTGTTGAGTAGAAAGCTATAAAACTGAGATCAACGGAAAGGCTTTGTGACTTCAAGACTGTTTCTGAATAAATTACCCTAACATAACCCAAAGGATGCAGACCACCTCCGTCTCCTGCTCAACTATCAGTCACATGTACAATTCCCTCCAGAAGGGATGCACCAGAGGAAAAGAAGACAACCAAAGGGAGGGAATCCCCTTAAATCCATCTATGAACATGCTCAGTATTACCTAATGGATTATTTCCACTAAACTAAACTAATCTCACTGCTATGCTACATCCAACACAGGATTTTAAATTAGAAGCAGGAAGTGTGTCTGTAGGAGTATATGTTTGTGCCTGCTGGGCTTTCCTGGGGATTTCACGCAAAAATGGAGTCTTTTAAGTAAAACCACACAGCTCCTTTAAATGGGATCTGAGCACCCCACCTAGTCATACACAGCAGCCTTTGTCAGGAGACACACACATGCCCTGGTGGTAGGAATCAAATCGACACTGTCCCACTCATCTTGCAAAACCCAACTCCACATGAAAAGTCTCCTCAGGGCATAGTAACCTTTTACCCTGGTAGACATGTGCAGCCGCATTACATTACAATACCAACCTAATCATCACAACAGTGATTCTCACAACATAACCAAGGGGAGCAAATTTTCCTTTACATGGAAAACTATTAACAATACCAAATTTGTTTTTTTTACAATAAATGCTTATTTCTTTCTGCTGATTTTTTTTAAAGGCTATTTTTTCAATTTGGTAAAGAGATAACACAAGGGTTTTATTTTTACAAGAGTGCCTCCTGCCCTGTGAAGCACACACGATGCATACAGGCCTAACGCTGGACTAAATAGGTGGTCTCTGCATTGATATCCACTAACTGGCCCCCTGGGGTCCCGGGCCAGCCATGGCTTCCCGAAGACAGCTCCCTTCTCAAAAGGCTTTGCAAAAGCCCCTCAGTGTTCTTGCTCAAGCCACCCAGAAATACAATTTACATAAGCTGGGGTCAACCCTTTATTATCTACATCAGGAGGGAAGGGAGGGGTGGCTGACCATTGCTTTACTTGGTAATTGTTAAAATCAGCTGCATTCCTTGAGAATACTGACAGGAGAAAAGAAACACCTCAGATATGTGAATAGTAAGAACCTAGTTTTGTTTTTAAAATATACCTTTAATTAAACCATGACATTCATGGTATATATGTCCCAACTGAAATGTGTCTGTAAAATCCAACCACAGTACCCAAGTAATTAAAAACAATTACCTCATATTAACGAAGTTGCCCCAAACAGCTGTAAGAGAAAGAAAAAAGAGAAGTCAATGTTTAAGTCCACAACTTTCAGGGATTCCAATGGATGGAATCTTAAATTTTAACCAGTATTTTAAATTTTACAAAGAAAATTAACTTATGTCATGAAGACAACCAAATGCACACTTTGTTTTCAGAACAATTAAATCTTACTACAAAATAAGTAAAAACAGGACCGGTAGGTTTTATTCAGGCCAAGTTTGAGAACTGCAACCCAAGAACATTGATTCAAGTTGCCCTGAATACATGCTCCCATCAGCAGCAGTCACAAGTGGGCTTTTAAAGGAAGAGGCAGTTTCTAAGTTACCAAGAATTTACATTAAAATAACATAAGCTACTGATTGGCTATACATTGTTTTTTGTATCAAAATTTCCAGGAAAAAGATAATTGGGTGAGGCAGCTGGGCAGAAACAAAATGCGTTTGAAGAACTGGCTCTGGGCATGGCAGGGCCTGACTTTAGTTCCATGCTCACATCGCTGTGGCCTGATAAATTCTGCATACCTCATGGCTCATACTGCTCTGAGCTGTTTTTCTTTTCTATCTATCCCCGTGGTTTTGGAATACCTCTTTTGGGGTCTGGAGTTGGAGAGTGCATGTGAAGCTTTTTTTTTTTTTTTCCCAAGTGACAGATCTGCCTACATTACCCAGTCTGGTCTCTAGCGATCCTCCCGCCTCAGCCTCCTGAGTAAGTGGGAATGCAGGCATGCGCTACCACACCTAGCTAAGGATGCATGTGTTTTGATAAACAGTATGTTCTCAACCTTCGTTTGAGGAAGAGCTAGTCACAAAAATCAAATAATCACATGTCTGAAAGAAGTCCTAAGGTTCAGTCTAACCTCTCCCTTGTAATGATGATGAAAGCAAACCCAGAGAAGTTCAACAGTGGCCTGCAGTGCGGCTTAACTCCAACGGGAGTGCATCCTTTCTCAGCACTTACCACGTCTCCCTTCTAGGTGCCTCTAGGCGCCTGGTGGGCAGGCTCTCCTGTGCCCGTATACAGCTGGCCTTCGGTAAATGTGTGTAAGTCAGCCCTGAATCAACGGCAGATGACTTTAAAACGGAATACTGGACCATGAGCACTCACTTTAAGTTACTGAGCAGGCGATTCTTTCTATGGAGGTCTTTTCTGAGGATAAGCAGTCCTAATATTTTGTACATACTCCTATTTGGCCCTCATTTGGCCACTCAGCAGATACTGAAGGCCTTCTAAGTGCCAGGTGCATTTAGGTGCTTCCAGGCGCCGAGGAGGAACAGAGAGAATAAACACAAACGTCCTCGCAGTCTGGGGTTGTTAATTTTGTGAGTTTGGGAAAGCCCTAAGGTTAGGATCTCATCACCCCAGGCATCTTCCCATTGCCATCCTCTTGTGTGTAGTAGGAGTTTAATAGCTACTCATCAAATAGGATGCAGTATACAAACTACACCCCCACAAGAAATTCCCACTCTCAAGAAAGGGAGTGTCGCCTATTCCATAAAAGCACATCTCTCTTCAAACAGAGGAGGAAACTTGATTAAAAAAAAAAAAAGACAGCAATATATGACCAAATAAATAAAAGTGGCAAGAAAGCAGGGAAAAGGGAGAAATTAAAATAAAGCTATTAACTAGAGTCATTATTCAATAAAAAAATAAAAACTGCTTATGTCAGGGGCATTGGAACCAGAGTAACACCATCTTGAACAGAAGCTGGGTAAAGTGAGGCTGAGACCTACTGGGCTGCATTCCCAGACTGTTAAGGCATTATAAGTCACAGGATGAGATAGGAAGTCAGCATTAAGACACAGGTCATGTGCCAGGCACGGTGGCTCACACCTGTAATCCCAGCGCAGAGGAAGGCAGATCACCTGAGGTCAAGAGTTCAAGACCAGCCTGACCAACATGGTGAAACCCCATCTCTACTAAAAATACAAAATTAGCTGGGTGTGGTGGCACGTGCCTGTAATCCCAGCTACTTGGGAGGCTGAGGCAGGAGAATCATTTGAGCCCTGGAAATGGAGGTTACAGTGGGCCGAGACCATGCCATTGCACTCCAGCCTGGGCAACAAGAAAGAAACTCCATCTCAAGGAAAAAAAAAAAAAAAGATACAGGTCATAAAGACCTTGCTGATAAAATAGGTTGCAGTAAAGTCAAGTCATAAAGACCTTGCTGATAAAATAGGTTGCAGTAAAGAAGCTGACTAAAACCCAGCAAAATCAAGATGGCCACAAGAGTGACCTCTGGCTGTCCTCGCTGCTACACTCTCACCAGCACCATGACAGTTTACAAATGCCAAGGCAAAGTCAGGAAGTTACCTATATGGTCTAAAAAGAGGAGGTGTGAATAATCCACCCCTTGCTTAGCGTTTCATCAAGAAGTAACCATAAAAATGGGCAACCAGCAGCCCTCAGAACGGCCCTCTCTATAGAGGAGCCATTCTTTTAATCCTTCATTTTCTTAATAAACTTGCTTTCACTTTAAGGACTCACCCTGAATTCTTTCTTGTGCAAGATCCAAGAACCCTCTCTTGGGGTCCGGATCGGGACCCCTTTCCTGTAACACTTACACCTTTGGACCACATGATTTTGTCTTTTTCTTATTCTCAGGAAATCAGTAAACATACAGCAAAAGTGCCCTCACCAATGTCATGGCCTTATTTATAATCACACACACAAAAAAGGAATAAGCCAAAATATCCCACAATTAGAGAACTGCTGTATAAATTGTCATACAGCCATTTGATGAAATCAGAAAGCCATTAAATATGACTATGGAACTACACTGTAACATGATGCAGTTATGACAGTACCAGACGAAAAAATATATATACAGTGTGACTCTCACTTCTATAAAATGCATTGGGGAAAAAAAAAAGACTGTGAAATTTCCAAAATACTGAGTTTAAATGGTGACATGAGTAACTGTTTAATTTTCCTTGTGGTTAAGTGTTTACTTACTTTTAAAAAAGGAGGGAAGAGAATTTAACCCTTACTAAACTCCATGTCCTTGTTGTCCTGTTCTTGCCTCTTTCTAGACACCTGGTGAACACCTGGGTCAGTCCTCAGCTCGGACTCCAGGCACTGCTGCCACCAGAGTCCACAAAGATCACCTGTGAGCCACCAGTTGCCCAACCCACGTGCACTTTTCTTTACTGTGCTATATATCCCAAATAAGTGTACTGTCTCATTTTGGCTGTAGGATTAAGCTGCTTATCAAAGTAGACAAAGTAGTCCCTTTCTTACTGAAAATAGTATTCCATGCTATGGAAGCATCCATTCATTCTCTTATTGCCTTCTGGGTGGGTAGCACCTTTTGGCAGACCTTTCAAATCACTCCATGGTTATTTGCTTTTTCAGTTTTTTCTTTCAAACCTTTTTTTGAGTCAGTTTAAAACGTTAACTTCAGGCTGGTGCGGTGGCTCATGCCTGTAATCCTAGTACTTTGGGAGGCCAAGGCAGGAAGATTGCTTGAGCTCTGGAGTTTGAGGCCGGCCTGTGCAAACTGGTGAAAATCCCATCTCAAAAAATTAGCCAGGGTGGTGGCCCGTGCCTGTAATCCCAGCTACATGGGTGCGGCGGGGAGGCGGCGGTGGGGCCAGGGGGCTCGGGGGCGGGGGGAATGCGGCGCAGAAGCAGAAAGATCACTTGAGCCCAGGAGGTCGAGGTTGCAGTGAGCTGAGACAGCACCACTGCACTCCAGCCTGGGTGACAAAAGTGAGACCCTGTCTTGGGGGGGAAAAAAAAGTTGATTTCACAGAAATATCTCAATCCTTCTATCCTCAGTTCATTTCAGAGCAGTGAAGGCTGCCACCCATCCCAAACACCTTCAGTTTCCTTGACCATGATGTCCTGAGCCCTTTCCCCCTGCCCACTGGTTCTCCTTAATTATCTCTTCCCAGGATCAGCCCTGGCGAATGATGCCCAAGCCACAGCCAAAGCTTTACCACCCTTCATAAATGGGTAAGAATGGATGTAAGCAGATAAGGACCAGATTCACTTCTGGGTCTCAGACTTCTTCCACTGACCCTGGAGGCTGGAGACGCACCTGGAGACATGCCCTCTCCTCCCCAACTGCACCTCCTGATTCACGCTGCAAAGGAGGCTTCATGAATCCCTTCCTTCCCCACTCAGACCTCCACACTTCCCCACTCAGACCTCCAGAGCAGCCCCCTGCAAGCAGCCCCCTGCATGGGACTCTCCACCCTCCCTAAACCACCTGCTGTCCCCAACCCTTCAGCTCGTCCACAGGTGGTGTCCTGGGCACTTGCACCTCCAAGACTCATCTGAGATTTTATTCTCCAGAAAGCATCTTCAATCATCCCTCCTGCTCCAGGAGACACTGGGGGCCCTGCTGTGTGGCCAAGGCCTGCTACATGTTTTGTTCTAATTGGTACCTTACAGGTGGGTCTCTCTGCAAGATGAGGTGTTTTCATATTTACATTTGCTACACCAGGCATTCGTGGTCCAAGCACTAAAATTAGTTGAATGCATGCCAAGTAATTTTTCCCTTTTCTTATAACACTTATCCCTTGCTTATTTTTATCTTCAGACGTGATATAACCAATTAATCTTTACAATGTTTTTATGTCAAGTGTTCAGGCCTCCTTTCAAATTATCAAAAGCTCTACCTGCTTTACTTCAGAGATAATCCAATACCCAGCCCAGACCAAAGAACAGACACACACACACACACACACACACACACACGGCAAAGCAGGACAAACCCCCACATTGCTGCACAGATTCCGAATGGAAAGACACAAGCAATTTCCAACAATTATGGAGCAGTAGTTTTGTGTAGTTTTGTGTAGAGTAGCCTGAAAGGTTGCAGGGCATAGACCTTAAAAGTTAAACATTACTTTAAAGTAATGTTGCTTTTCAAGTTTTTGCAACCTGCTTGAGTTATTTTGACCCACCTTACAGTGCTTCAAACAGATCGCTGGGCATTACTAACAGATGCACTCTACAAATATTTGAACTGAATTAAACCCATTTATATAGTACCAG